GTTATGATAGATAGATAGATAGATAGATAGATAGATAGATAGATAGATAGATAGATAGATAGATAGATAGATAGATAGATAGATAGATAGATAGATAGATAGATAGATAGATAGAATCTTTATTGGTGTAAATAAAAATTATACATAGTTACGGTGGTTTGTGAAGTAACTACATAAATAGGCATCAAGAGGGGAGAAAAGTGGAGGGGGAGGGACATCGGGAAGAGGCTGAGGAGGGGAGGCCAGGCATAGGGGGGAGGAAGGGATCACCGTTGCACCCAGCTGATATCCTCTTCTCCCCCAAAGTCCCATTTCTGGGACCCTGTTGTGTTCCCCATTTGCAGCCCCCACTCTCCCTCCCTCCCTCCTTCCCCCTGCAATCCATAGCCCGCTTGCCACCCGGGGGTGAGGGGGGGTTACCTTAAGGAAAGAGAAATTGGTGGGAGGGAAAGAGCTCTGAGGGACTCCCCCTCCTTTCCACCGTTGCCACCCCCCAAAAGGGTCCCTGCAGGATCTGGAGAAAGAAGGGGGTCTCCTAGCATGAAAGCGAAGGAGGACCCAGGACATGCACAGAGAAAGGGCCCTGGAGTCTTGCTCAGTGGGGGAGGGGGGATTGAGACCCCTCCCAGACTTCTCATCTGCCCCCCTCCAAATGTCCCCCCAAAAGGAGGAAGATGAGGAAGCACAAGAAAAAAGATAGATGCCCCCACCTCGATGGGACTTGGTGGGTTTCCTTTCTTTTTGGATTCTCCCCCATTTCTGATGGATTTTGGGGGGTTTCGTTGCTTTTTGTTTTTTTCCCCCATTTCCAATGGGTCTGGATAAGTTTGGTTGCTTTTGGGGGTTACCCCCTGTGACGTAGCAGGCCGCTCTGATGTCACTGCCTACTCAGGCCTCTCAGAATGCCCACCACGCCACTTCACACTCGCTGCCACCAATTATAATAACCAATTAAGAAGGACAAAGGTTTCCTTCAAAACAAAACAGGTTTATTGGTATAACAAAATAAAATATGTAAATCACAGGTAGCTAATCAAGATGTCAATCACTGTTTCTTATTTATTCAATCACAGACTTTCCTTCACTGACTACTTAGGCACACAGGCCTCTAAAACAAGGTCTTCCTCTCTCACACACCAGATCTGATCTCTCACACTCTCTTCACACCCCTTTTTCTTCCAATTCCTCCCTCTTCAGCTCCACCCTCCGTCACCCCATTGGCTGATGATTCACTGCCCAGCCGTGACCGGCAAGTGAGGTCAGGGCTGCCTGTTACATTACCCCCCCCCTTAATAAGTTGTTTCATGGGGGAAAGCTAAAGTGATTTCCTCTATAAACAACGAGTAGCAGTACAAAGATACATTTAACCCAATAACAATATTACATTTAATACAACTTTTCATAAACATTAAATAAACATCTTATCTCCAAG